CTGGGTGAGCTGCCACACAGGAAACCTGTCTCTAGCCTGAAGCTCTGGGTGAGCTGCCTCACAGGAAACCTGTCTCTAGCCTGAAGCTCTGGGTGAGCTGCCTCACAGGAAACCTGTCTCTAGCCTGAAGCTCTGGGTGAGCTGCTACACAGGAAACCTGTCTCCAGCCTTAAGCTCTGGGTGAGCTTAACCTGCCAATCAGCCCTGGTGAGCCAACTTGAAGATTCCTATGTGGACTTTACCTGAAGATTCCTAAGTGGAGTTTACCTTAAGATTCCTATGTGGAATCAACCTGAAGAATCCTATGTGGATATCCCCTGCTGTTCTCTGTAATGAGTTGGAAGCTCAGATCAAGGTCTGCCATGCTAAGTCTGAAGCTAGACGCTTCAGCTCCTCATGAACTCTGCTAACCAACAGTCTCTGGTCCCAGTCAAAACTTCAGTGAACCAGCCCGGACCAGTTTCAGAACCTTTTCATAATCTTGTGTTTCAGAACTTTGAATAAACCTTTGAACTTTTTCCCTGCCTCCTCCGTGTGTGTTCTGCATATGGGCTTGAATCCTAAACCCCATCATGACAGAGACGGTATAGCTTAAAGGTCGCTATTATATCTATGGAATTATCATTATCTTGAACTGCTAAATGAAAAATACAATTAAAAAAAGCACACACGGAAAAACATTTTCCAGATAAATTTTGCATTTTTAGTTTTTTTCTTTCAAAAAAACTATTTTCCTACAGTATTTACCTGACATTTGTGGTTACAACTTTTTCTAGTTTTAGCAGTAAATGTCTGCTCTTTTATTTTTAAGTGAAATGATGACTGTGGGAAAAAAAACAATCACATTCCTGCCTTTTATTAATACATATGAGGTTAGAAACTACAAGAGATAAAGAAAAAACCCTAAACAAATAGCAGGACAATAACAATACTTTTATAAAAGATTGTGGCAATAACTTTTTGTAACTTAATGACTTGGCGGGCAGTATTTTCAATTCAGTTTATTTATTTAGTGCCAATTTACAACATTATTCACAACATATTTCTCCTCTACCACTGCCATGAAGCTTTTAAAGCTGGGCTTGTCGATCAAAGACAAGGGGAGGTTGCATGAAATAATAAGGTCCTGAATTATTGCCTTATGTCTGTGATGTCCCTGGCTGTACACCTGCACTGCACTGCTGATAAAGTTAGATGTGGTGGACCAAGCATCGTGTGTTTTTTTCTAAAGAAGCTGCAGTTTGCTGCTCTTTTATTCCCGCCTTATGTAAGGTTTTTGTAGCCAAAGGTTGTTATGAACGGTGGCACCGAAACAGGGGGGGTAATCATCACTTCCATATCTGTATGGGTTGCATGCATGCATGCGCGCTGGCATATATGTCATGTACTGTTGCGTCAGTGACGTCAGTGTGTTGCACAGGGAAAAATATGATTTATGGTTTTCTTTCATTTTAATGTTAGTTTTATGCTTTGCATGTTTGGAGAGGAAGATATGATTTGTTTTTCTTTGTATTTTCTTTTTGAGCTTTGCATGTTTTGATGTTTCTTTTTTATATGATTGTTTTCCTTTATTTTAGACTTTTGAATTTTTCCTGCATGTTGGGTTGTTTTAGTTTGTTTTTCCCTTGTGACAATCCATGCGCACTGGACTGAAGTAGTTGTCTGAGGAGGCGGAGTGCATTGATTGCGCTGCGTAATTGCTGCGCTCAGGTGTGAGCAAGGGCTGATTAAAGCCGACATAAAAGGAGTCTGAAGGAAAGGAGAACGGAATCTGCAGGTGACAGAGACGGACGTGCTGCCGGGGGAGAGGCAGGCGGGATCCGTGCGCCAGGAGGGTGCACAGATGGCCCAGTAAGGAGTATTAGTGCAGAGGAGGAACCTCGCCTGTAAGTAGCGCTCCCCCTCGCTTAAAGCATAAACAGGAATATATCTTCCGACGGGGTTTTGGCGCGTGGATGCTGGTGTTCTCCCTGCTTCTCTTTTTAGCTGAATCGGTGTGGAAAGGGGCTTGGTACACCAGGGAGTGGAACAGTGCCGGTGTTATGCCCAAAAGTGCATGCCAGAGTCATCTGTGGATCAGCCAGTGGGTGCTCCAGGCCGATCACTCGCACCAGAAGCAGCATAACAAGCGGAGCCCAACTTCCAGCCTCTGATTTTTAAGGAAAACTGTTGAATTTTAGGTTTTATCAGGAGAAGAAAAGGACTGTTTTATTATGCCACTTTTGCTGTGGCTTTTTGTATAAATAAAACACTTGAACTTGAGTGCTTCACGGTTTGGGTCTTTGAGTTGTTTGCTCCCCCTTGTGTCAAAGACTGAGTGTGGGGCCATACTGGCCACAAGTACTGCTTTTTTTTTTTTTTTTTTTTACCTCTTCTGTGTGCGGGTAAGGCGAGCAACGATCAGTCAAGTTAGTAAAACAAAAAACACTTGAATAAGTGTTTTTACACTGGAATAAAATATTGTTCACAAGTCGGAAATCACGAGTCTCAGTCGTGTCTGAAGTCATTAAATATGCGACTTAAGTGCGACTCGAGTACGAGTCACAAACTCGAGTCCCCATCTCTGATCTGTGTACGTCAGAACACCCCTGACGTACACGCTATCTGCGCCCTAGTGGTGTCCTTTATTTGGACCTGATGACCAAAAAAAAAAAAAAAAAAAACAGCAATGCAAACAACATGAAGGCCAAAATCAAAGCAAGCTGGGCTTTGTTTCCACCTCAGGCAACCTTCAGGCCACAGGAATGCAGTAAATCATCCAGTGACCCCCACCAAGCACTGACTTCATGTATTGAACAAAGAGTCGACGATCATTTCACCGCACTGATTTCCTCAGGAACTGAATTGTGGGTAAAATCTGCTGACATGCATCGCTATGTTTATAGATCTGCACAAAACACAAGCTTCACTTTTAGAGCTGAAGAACTGAAATCTATTTTTTTATGAGATATGATCTCTCTTTTTCATTTTCATCAGAACTCTGGCTGCAGCATTTTGGATCAGCTGAAGGCTTTTAACTACAGTTTGTGAACTTCCTGATAGTAAAGAATTACAATAGTCCAGCCTTGAAGTAACAAATGCATGGACTGTTGGGATCTGGGGATGTACCACTTTTCCTCAGATGAAAGAATAAAATTCTAGAAACGTCTTTGATATGGGATTTAAATGACAGGTCCTGATCAAAAACAATATCAAGGTTATTTTACTTTGTTATCTGAAATCAGTTTAATCCCATCCAAATGAAGTGATTGGCTAATCAGCTTCTTTTTTAAAGACTATGGTCCAAAGACTGTAACTTCTGTTTTGTCTGCATTCAGAAGGAGAAAGTTAAGAGTCATCGAGGTCTTTATGTCTTCAAGACATGCCTGTAATCTATGTAATGGGTTAGCTTCATCTGGATTTATAGGCAGATATAGCTGGGTATCATCAGCATAACAGTGGAAATTAATCCCATGCTGTCTAATAACTCTACCGATTGGGAGCATATATGCATATATGCTTTTTAATGGCTAAAACGACAAAATATCTTTGTGATTAGAACCTGATCTCTCTTCCTAAAACTATGATCTAAGGATCGAACGGCTGGGGGCTTTAAGAAGGACGACAAGCAAAAAACTAATATTTACTTGCAGTTGATAAAAACAGAGAGTTAATATTTCACCGTTCTACTTCTGATACATACCTGGTGTTCAAATGAACTTTTTAACTCCAGATTTCTATGCATTATTTACAAAACCTTTGAAAACATTTCAAACCTTTTATCTTTTAAACATCTCTTAAACTTGGAACCAAGCTTTTACTGCATTTTATTGCTTTTTGATGTGAAAAGAAAACAATATACTTAATATTCATCCCCTTTGGGTCAATAGTTTGCAAAGCCGTAATAACCTGCAATTACAGCAACATGTGGGTAGTGGTTTGGCTCTAGCAGCTTCAGACGCACATTTCTGTCTTTTCTTCTTTGCAGAGAATCTAAAGCTCAGCTTGTTCTAGAACATAACTAACACTTTAAAATAATTTTCCCAACCAATCTGCTGTTTTCCTTAACCTTCACAAAGATGTTTGTTCACCAAAAATTCTTTGACCAGCGTATAGTGAGACTGAATTGCTCACATATGGTCTGCATTTATCAATCTATTTTTATTTATTAATTAAGCATCTTAATCGAGGCTTTCAGAGCAAAGCGGCAAAAATACTGCTGCATTTCACTGATTGTATTTAGAACCAGATTCTTCTTTAAATTAAATTCCACCAAAATACATCAACGTTTCACTTATAATTGGAACAAAATGTGTAATGGTTAAGAGATGGAACCATCTATAGAGTTTTAGGATACATTTGAAAAAAACGAACCCTTATTAATTTATTCAAAGCTAATGCAGATTGGATTCAAATGTATTTATATTATAATGACGGGTTTTCTGCATCTCTTTTTTTTTTCTTTGAGGAAAAACTGAAGAATATCTGAATCTGTAAAAATGATTTTTCTCCACAGTGGCTTCCTCTTGCATGACCCGCCTGTCAGCCTGTAGATCCCTTTAACCTAGATCCAGAGTGTGGCATGTAGAAGCTGCACTCATCACACTAACCAGTAGAAACACTTCAGGAAGAAAAATGGAGGATGATGATGAGACTGTTGATGATGCTGAAGCTGATGATGATGTAATAGAAAAAGCTGTAACACTTTTCTCTTTATTACATGATTCTAATATGATATAGAATAAAAAACATCCTATAGCAGAGATACTTACTACTATATATGTGTCCACTACTTTAAGGATAGTTTTTTTCCCTCTGATTTTAAATCCTGTTTCAAATAATGGCTGAAGCTGCTGATGTGAAAATAACACAGAAATGTAAAGTTAGAAATTTTTATTTGGATCTTTGAATACTTGGTACTACTAAGTATTACTGTGACTACAAAGTACTGCTGTGGAGTACTTCGTCCACCACTGCTGTAGGGTTATACCTGAGTTACTTTCTTTATTTGGAAGAAAATTAAAATAATGTTGTTTTTTTTCTGTAAAGGTATCAGAGCAGCACAGACTGTCATCCAGGATGACCATCAGCAGCAAGTGTACTCCTCTCTCCTCCATGGTCAGTCTGTCACTTTTCTCTGAATGGTTCCAAAAATATGGAATATAGATTATATTCCCATTATATTTTTATCATTTTATCTTTAACACTACTAATGACCTTTGTGTTGACTTGGGAAATTAACAGTTGAGAAAAAAATCAAAATGCATTCATTCAAACTTCTATGATCAAATGATTTTATTTTCTTATTGAAGACTGCATTTATAGAAGAGTAAATCTCAATGTGAATGCTATAATATTGCTGTGAATTTATTTCAGTCTAGTCTTATTTAGCTTAATTAGCCACAGACCAACATAGAAAAGGATATTTCTAACTTTTAACCCGTTCAAACTCTATTATAAAGTATTGTTGAAGCTCCTATTTATTCAGCTCTGATCATATTTTTTTTCTTTTTCACTGTTAAATCATCCAGATTAAATGTTAGGAAGCAGTAATAACCATCAAGCTAATTACAGATGTATCCAACTAGATTCAAATATAACTCAGCAACTTCCCTAAATAAGACTGAGATTTTATTGCTTTAGAGATTTTCTGTCTCTTGTTCTGACTGAGGCATCTAATAATTCAAACAATAATAGCAGGATTGAGGTAACATGTGTGAAATAGATGTAAAGAGGTGCTTCTAATGTTCTGTTTACATCAGTATCACTGACATTAAGGCAGATTAGTTTAACTGTGTGATTTCCACTTTCCTGTAGGAGATCTTGGTCTCTATGAAACAATCAGAGGGTCTGGAAACTCTGGAAATGGTTCAGTATAAATGTTAATAATCAAATAGCTGCTGGAAGCATGGAATTATACAGTAACTGTGATAAACAATGAACTCAATGACAACATTATAATTTCAGGTCAAGAACAACAGGATGGTACTAATGTGACTGCAGGGTCAGACTAACCTGGAACATTTTTTCTAGAGGGGTGAGTTCACTAAATCTGGAAGTAATCAGGATCAATAGTTTGTAGAAGAGATGATTTTGCTGTTTGACACTGATTCAGGAACTGTTTCTACATTTTTCCTTTAAAAACCTTTGTTTGGTTCTGTTGTTCAATCAGGTCCTGTCTAGACCTAAACATCTTTGATCTGGGTTCAAATCCTTTGGCTCCTCAGAACCTACCATGACAGTAGTATCAGCGGCACCAGGATGAAGTCCAGTCATCTGAGAGTTTTCCTTCTATCCAGCAGCTTTTGCCATTAAGCAAGACTTTATTTCACTGTTTCAGTTATCTCTGTTACAAATTCTACACCCCCTGTAAAGAACTTCAGCATAAAAAGGACACAAAAATAAGAACAACTATTACGATCATTATTTCTTATTTACAAACAAACCTCAATCTTCACAATTTTACTATGGAAAAGAGGGTTATGGTTGATTCTATTACCACCAAGAAACAGAAACTCTGATTTGAGAACTCATCCTACTGAAGAACTTGGCCACATGGCAACAACTAACGCCATAATAACGTTATAAACTACAAATAATATCAGCCCTGAGTTTCTCACATTTATGGAATTTCATGCTAATCTAAATCAGTGGTGTCCATATTCAGTCTTAAGGGCTGCTCGCTTTCATGTTCAAATTGCATTTCAAAAAAGAAAAACGAGAACAACGGATTACAAAGCTAAGCTGAGCCAAAAGGAACAAGTAACTAACAGCTTCCTAGAAATGGACTGAAGTAGAAAGTATAATATTTGACTTTGAAATGTAGTGGAGGGAAAGTTATAAGTACTCCCCCTAAAAATTATTCAAGTAAAGTAAAGATACTTTAAAAAGTACTTAAGTACAGTAATCAAGTAAATTGACTTTGTTACTTTCCACCACGGCCCTACAGTGCTGTGATGTATCTGATAACTTAGACCAGATGCAGCATTCAGTCAATAACTGATATCCAACAAATCATTCAAATAAAACTTTAATCTTATTTCTATGTGGTTTGACTGCTGTATTCTTTAAACTTCCTTAACACAAAATTCAGGTCATTCAGCTGAGAGGATGGAGAGAATAAGGAGAGAAAGAATCTCCATAGAGGTGTGAAGGCAACAGGTTGGTCTGATATTTGGTGGAAGTGAAGGAACAGCCACATAATACCAAGTGATTTATTTTTGAATATCATTTATATAAAAAAAAAAAACTTGTATTATATAAAAATATAATTGAAGGAGGCAGACATGAGGTGGGTGATGGTATCTGCTATAGAGGAGAGCAGTGAGGACATCAGGAAGGAAGAATGAAACTAGTGAGGCCACAGAAAGATTTAGTTCCTCCTCAGTGTTCTGAGGAAGAAAAGACACTGCTGGGCCTTTTTAATAACCTGGGGGGTGTTCACAGTCCAGCTCAGGGCCTCTGAGATGTTCAATGAGATCTATAGGTGGCAATAATGGCCCTAAATGTTGTTTTCCAGTTTGAAGAAGATACTCAGCTTGATTACTGCAGCACTTCAAGTCTAGAATCAACTGAATGTAAAACATGTTGCTGCAAACATGGAGACCAAAGCTAACTGTAGCTACAACAGACCTGCTTCAGGTTCAGAGCCACAGTTAGTAACTCTACATCTGAGCTCACTGCTTTCTTTCACCTAAATGCTTATTTGTAGAGTTAATTGAAAAACTAAAATATAATTGAATAGAAAGACTTATTCTTTCCATTTTAAATCTTACTATAAATAAATGTGATCAAAGTGTTATTAGCTGTAATAAGCTAATTATAAATGTTCTAAAGACTCAGATTATCATTATTCAGTCACTTCCATCCACTAAATTTATGTGTTGCTGTTTCAGTTTAGTCCACATGGGGGAGTGCTCTGTTTGGAGAATGAAAGAGTGAAACATTAGATATTACAATATTAGAGTCTGACCTTTGGAGCGTCTGAACCGACACACCAGCAGAGGCAGAATTATCAGAACGATTCCAATCACTGGTCTAATGACCCACATCACATGAAATGAAGAACTTCCAGCTGCTGAAAATAAGGAGAAAATAACTCCAAACAATATCAATATTATTCTGAATCCAATCATTGATTCTTTCAGCTCTGCTCACCTTTTACTGCCATCCAGCTCTGTGGTGAAGCTTTTCCTGAATGTTCACACTTGTAGAAGCCTTCGTCTGACTGAGACACTGCAGAGATCTTCAGCTCCCCTCTGCTGTCATTTTGGACCAGTTTGTCATTGTGATAGAAAAACACATTGGAAAGTGTATTTTGTCCTCTGAGTCTGCAGCTCAGAGTAACAGAAGCTCCCTCAGTCACAGGATGGACGGGGCTCACCAGGAGAACATCTCCATCTGGAAAACAGTCAGAATATGAAGTTTCAGTCAGAAATCAGCTGCTGCAGACCTTTAGAAGAGGTTAGTGAGAACAAACTGAACACAGGATTATTTTCATTCATGTTTGGCATTTTATCTCAGTCTCCACAGGGAACATTTTAAAACATTAAAAGATCATTTTAAAAAGTCAAATGAACAATAAAGTACCTGTATCAGATATTTATCAGAAAGTATAGATCACACAGTTACTGAGAAACTATGAAGCAACAACCTGATATTAAAGGAAACTCTGGGACTGACCTGAATTTAAAACTACAGATGAGTTAAAACTGATGAAACAGAAACAACAAAACTTTGAAATTTTACTTTAAAATAAGAGTTAATAAAAGTATAAATATCATTATGTTTGTAAACCTTATTAGTATGTTAACAGAGGTGTCAAGTAACGAAGTACTAATACTTCGTTACTGTACTTAAGTCAACTTTTTAGGTATCTATACTTTATTCCATTACTTATCTTTCGTCTTACTTCTGACTTCTACTCATTACATTTTCACACAAGTATCTGTACTTTCTATTCCTTGGCTTCGGTTTAATGCAGAGGTCACGGATTAGCGGACCGAGAACAGGTGTTATGCTGAAAAGTGCATCCCTGCCAAGATATGCATCCCCAGTCGCGGGAGCGCGCCTTGCTCTGTACAACTGTGACTATCGACGAGGAAAACAGATTAAAATATGACCTATGGAGCAACTTGTTATTATATTGATGATATAAAAAAGTTTAAATATTCCTCTCGTTGGGAAAAAAATGGTGGTTATTTGGCAGATTCATTTACCAAAGTACGGGGGTTATGTACAACATTAAATCCTTATATTTTGTCCGAGCTACGGCTGATTTATTTGTTGTAGTCTCTTGTTATTCACACACAACAATAAACAGTGATGCCGACGTGAGTTTGGAAACTGCAAAGCTTTGTCTGAAGCGGAAAATCAAACGCGCATCTACACAGCACAGCGTTCACAGACCAGTGTGATGCATTCACGAGCATCAGATAGCTACGGTGCATTCAGGAGCATGGGACATTTCACACTTTCAAGGAAAGAGACATAAATGGAACAGAACTTAACTCATACAATAATGTATTTATTCAGAAACATTGTGGACCTTCTTATGATACTGAATGCTCTATAATTGTATCTGTTATTTTTTGATTATGCACATCTGCTAGCTTTTTATTCTAAAAATCTATAATATCACAGCAGCAAATGATCAAAGTTTTTCAAAAGCCTGTTTAAAAGCTCCAAATGAGGCTTCAGATCATGCAGCAACAATTATGCTGTCATTGTTTTACAGGCAGAATTTGCATTTGCTGACCCTTGTCCTTTAACTACTGATGGATATACAGGAATACAATCATAAAAGTGTCAACTCCTCTGAGATAGCACGGGATGCAATTTTTGGCAATTTCTATTTATTAATTTTTTTTATTTAGAAATTCAATGTATAACATAAATGCATAAATAACACCTTATATTTTAGTGTTAAATTCTGTTTAAAGTAACAGATTATTAAAAATGTCTCCGGACCTTTACTGGTCGATGATTTTCTTTATTCGGACCCCGCTGATTTTTAATTGGTTACCCCTGGTTTAATGTTTATCAATATTTATTTCAGATCATGTGTGCCATCCATTGCAGATCATTGGCGCCATCCACATCCAGTGAAAACTAGTGTAATTGGATGAGTCATAACTCAAACACTCATTGGTTAGCTAAATGAAATCATCAGAAGCAAGCAGGTGTTCTTCAAACTGTAAACATGAATTGTCTATGCCATGCTACAATGTTGGATTCAGAAAAAGATGTTGAAATGTCTGAAAGGTCGGACACAAGCGAGAGCGTATCGGGAGACGGAGACCAACAAGACCTCCCTCATCCTTGGCACTATCTCAATGAATTTTTCAGAATAGGCAAAAATTGTGCTTCAATTCATATAGTGGCATCTGGCTGTTTTTTTTAAAGGTTACTTTAAACTTTTATACTTTAAGTAGTTTTTGGAGCACATACTTTTTAATTTTTACTTGAGAAAAGAGGTCAAGTTGATACTTCAACTTTTACCAGAGTGTTTTTAAACTGCATATCTATACTTCTAATTAAGTAACAAATGTCTTCACTTTTGACACGACTGCATGTTAAAAAGATGAGATAAGAAAATACAGATTTATTTAATCATGATTCCAGAATGTTTTCTTTATAAAAAAAAATCTATTTTTATTTCAAAGTTTGTTGATGAAGGTTCTCAGTCATCCAGGTCATAGTCATTCCGTAAAAATTCAAAAAATATCCACTGGACTTGGTTTTCAAGATTTGAAGACGTTTCGCCACCTCTCCAGGAAGCTTTCTCAATTCAAATGTCTGGATCCGCAGTGAGTTTGAGTCTTATATAGACAACGCCTTGTATCGCTTGGAAACATGCAATGGTAACCGATGAATGGGTCGTTAGTTCCATCGTTAGCCTGTAATATCTGAAACTGCCTATGATTCTAGGGGTCGGTCATTAAAGGGGGGATTGCCATTAAGGGGGGGGATTGTCTCCTGTAATACCTGAAACCTGTCTATGATTGTTAAGGGTTGGTCGTTAAGGAGGTATTGTTCACCGGCTGGGGCGGGTAAGTCCCTCGTTCCTCTGTGATGGGGTGGGGGGTTTGGTGATATCTGGAAGGGATCATGTCTATGATTGAATTGTATGTTTTTGGAAGCTGGAATCTGAGTCCACCACCTCTGTTTAAAGTTGGTTTTTCTCTCTTAACATAGATGGCTTCCTTCACGCCCCTCTCAAACCACCTATTTTCTTTATCCAGAATATAGACATTCTGGTCCTCAAAAGAATGTCCTTTGTCCACAAGGTGTAGGTGTACTGCGGAGTCTTGTCCATAGGCGGCCGCTCTTCTGTGTTGGGCCATGCGTCTGTGGAGAGGTTGTTTTGTTTCGCCAATATAAAGATCAGAGCATTCCTCGCTGCACTGAACAGCATATACCACTCCGCTCATATTCGGTCTGGGGGTTTTATTTTTCAAAACCCCCAGTATTTCAAAGTTTGGATGTAAATAGATATGTGATCTTTGACCCTATGACAACATCTAAACTCATTTAGCTTTAACATTTTTAGAAACTGACCTGTCCAGGGTGGACCCCGCCTCTCGCCCCTTGACAGTTGGAGATAAGCACCAGCTCCCCTCGTGACCCCACTTGGGATTAAGCGTGTTAGAAGATGGATGGATGGAGAGATTTTTAGAAACTTAAATTTTTAAAAGGCCATTTTTATATTAAATCTCCACATTAAGAAGAAAAAAAGTCTGTTTCTACTTAGATAATAATTAATCTCAGACTCTTCTAGAACAGAGATTTAATTTATTGTTTCTGAATCACAGAGCAGTGAATTTCATGTAGTAATAAAGCTGCTAAAATAAATGAAAGAAACAAACATAATAACATACCGACTGTAGTGATGTTGACTGAGCTGCTGAACTCTCCTGATCCAGACTCACACCAGAACACTTCTGTCTGGAAACTGGATTTTTTTGGTTCTTCTAGTTTTAGGTTAAAGCTACAGGATCCACTCATCGTCTCCCAGTCCGGGCAGGGATTACTGACCCAAATGGGACCATCTTTGTAAGCCCCCCACACTCTGGAATGAGTAAAGGCTCCTCTACAGTTCACTGTTACAGACTCATCAGTGAAGTGTTGCTCTCTGTCAGGACTCACTGAGACAGACACAGCTGGATGAGCATCTGGAAACCCACATGGAAAAAACAATCAACATGAACAAGAGAAGAAAAAATCTCATTAATTCAAATTCTTTTTTCAGATTACAACATTTTATAATGTTTTGCAATAAATTTCTTCTCATAAAGAAGATAAGATTATTATTTTTGATTTTGTTTCCACACTACTAATCTCATCAGTGTTTTTCTTCACAGTCAGACTTGTCATGATGGGTGTCACAGAGAGTAAGCCCAAGAGGCAGAACACACACGGAGACTCGGGAAAAAGTCCAAAGAGTTTATTAAAGGAGCACAAGCACATGAATATGAAACCGGAACAGTTCAGGCAGGAGGTTGGTTCACTGGGGTCTGTGCAGGGAACGGGGGATGGCTGGATTACTGAGATAATGAGGTGCTTAGCCTCTAGCTGTAAGCTAACTAGGACGGCTTGGATCTGAGCTTCCAGCTCAACGCAGAGAACAACAGGGGATAATCCACATGGTAACCTCTGGGGAACTCCTCAAAGAAGTCCTCAGGTTTCTTCCACGTAGGGATCTGCGGGTTGGCTCACCAGGGTAGTTTGCAGGTTGGGCTTTCCAAGAGCTTCTGGCTTGAGACTGGTTTCCTATGACGCAGCTCTCCCAGAGCTGCAGACCAGAGACAGGGTTCCAATGAGGGAGCTTCACAAGGAGACAGGAGGCTAAGCTCATCCAGAGCTTTCACGAAGATACAGGAGGTTAAGCTCATCCAGAGCTTCCACGAGGGACAGGATTCCTGTGAGGCAGAGATAAAGAAGATATTAGAACCTGGTCTCGACCTAGGAACAACCAAGACTCTATAGCAGAAGGCACTGCATGAAAAGTGAGATTTTCGTCCCCGTAAACCCCCGTAAACTCCCGCAGATCTGCCTGATTTTCGTCAGTTTCCGACAATTTGCAACCCGTGCTTGTCCGCGTTTGTCGTGCCACAAATTGTCGGAAACGGACAGTGACGTAGGTGGAGAGCGATCAGCTGTACTAATGGCCCTAATTAGCATATGAATGCAGCAAACCCGCGCGGCTGGCCAGGTCTGGCTTGAATAACCTTCTCAGTATTGGCTGAAACCACTATTCTCAAACAAATGAAATCGCTCGTGATTGGCAGCAAAACCACACGTGGCCACGCCAGGCTTTAATTTTCTTACTGAGTATTGGACGGAACCACTTCTTTTTAAACAAGTAAAGTCGCTCGTGATTGGTTGGCATATATATATATTTACATATATATATTTATTCATATATATATATATTTATTCATTCATATATATATATATATTCATATATTTATTCATTCATATATTTATTCATTCATATGCTGTGTATTTATGTTATCCTACACTACTACACAATTATTATGCTACCATCAAGACATGAATGAATTTATACAGGAAATGAAGATTTGCCAGGAAGCTGTTTATGCAAAGAAAGAGCTTTATTAAAACACACACAACTATATACAACGCGTATCCAAACACATGCGTATCTAAAAATTACAACTCCGTGAACGGTCCGTTTTCTTCCTCGGGGTTGGAGGTAACAGGCAGCATTCCCTCCGAGGCAGGTCCGATGTGCAGACGCCTACTGTGCGTGGCCCTGTACTTCGGCATCGCTTCTAACCGGGACTGCAGCTTAACACAGAGTTCAGTGAGATCCAGCCTACGAAATGGCGGCGACCGTACAATCCATCCAGAGACACCGCCGACGACGGCGGACTTCCAGAGTTCCACTTCCTCATCTGCCAGCACACTCTGCCTCGCCTTCAGCAGCTGAAAAAAAAAAAACATGAATCAGCGCACTGCATATGGACACAACACATCTATCAATGCACCTGAAAAATAGTCACCAAATAAAGTCTTACCCTCTTTCGTCTGGCCCGACTCCGAGCAGAGCAGCTGGAAAACAATTAAATGAGAGTGGTATGAATAAAAAAAATCAAACGCAAGTCACAGTAACAAGGAAGGAGAAAACATTAAAACAAGTCACTTACACACAATGTCGTCTTTATCAACATCGTGCAAATCCGAGCAAATAGGAGGTCACCGCCTCGACTGTAGTCTGTGAAAAAAAAAAGTACAGCTATGGTCGGTATCCATCCGTATCCATGTCCTTTTACCGCAGAATGAAAGCATATTCTTTAAACCTTACCCCTGCTCCGGTTCATAGCGCCTGCAATTAGTCTCCGAGTTGTTAAGACGGCATAATGCTTCCTGTGAATCACAAAAAATACACTTTAGTAAAGCTTTAGGCTAGGCTGCTTTTAGCTTACCTAGCTAGGCTAGGCTGTCTTTAGCTTGCCTAGCTAAGCTAGGCTGCTTTTAGCATAGCTACCAGTAATCGGACATATATTTACCGCTAGCGTGGCGTTGTGCACCCGTCTTCTCTTCCTCGAGTTCGTATATCCCGCAAAGTTGCTCATAGGGTGGCCAGATGTCCGGCTTTAGGGCGGACAGTCCGGATTTTCATTGCACTGTCCGGCGTCCGGCGCTGCACCCAGCCGGACGTGTATTTGTCCTCCTTTACCCCCAGATTCCACATACTCCGTCAACGCTCCGCCCCGCTCACGTACGGAGTACTTGTCTGTCTTCTTCTTCTTCTTGTCGAGTTTTATGGCGGTTGGCAACAAACTGTTAGTAGCATTACCGCCACTTACTGGTATGGAGTGTGGTTCGTGATGGTTTAAATATTGATCCTGATACATTCTACCCTAACTTCTTCTAAACATACATTCACACATTCACACTTAAAATATAAACATATTTGTGCACAGCTTTGTATATCATTCCTTCACTCACAAACACACTTACTATAATTAAATTCTATGGAATAATTTCGTTTTCTTTAGAAATCGAATAATTATTTGTATGTGTTTACTCCCTAAATTTTTCCTCAGTATATCTAATAAATTAACCTTCTCCTTAATGTCTTCAAACTCTCTTCTCATATATCTTCTCTCTTTTTCATATTTATGACATTCTAATATAACATGTTCTATGGTTTCATATTTATCACAGAAATCACATTTGCCCGTTTTATGTTTTTGTATTTTAAAAAGTGTATGATTAAGTCCTGTATGACCAAATCTTAACCTTGTTATCACTCTTTCATCCTTTCTATTTCTTCTTCCATTTCTTCTTTCTCCTACCATCTTCTGAATTTTATAAAACCATCTTCCTGTTTTATCTTCATCCCACCTTTTTTGCCAAATTTCCATAAGTTTCTCTTTAATAATACTCTTTCCTTCTGATTTACTTATTTTAACTATAAAACTAATAGAATGTTTAATTGCCCTTTTTGCCATTTTATCTGCCCTCTCGTTTCCTTCCACCCCAATATGTGCTGGAACCCACACAAATGTAACTATCAGCCCCATGTTTCGTATTCTGAACAGTGTATGATTTATTTCTAATAAAATGTCCATCCTACTATCTGTATTACTTGTCTGTCATGTAAATCAATGAGAGCTGTTCCACATCCTCCGCTCGTCACCGCCCACGTACGTCTTCTCCGTCCTTCACCGTCAAAATACGGAGCTGAGCTATTTTTTGCTCCCCTCCGGTCCGTCCAGATCAAGACCCGCTATTGCAATCGCACCAAACAGAAAAAAGAATGTAGAGAAGACCCGGTTTGTCAAATTAAATTATAGTAAAAACAGATTGGTATCTAGAAATTAGAGCATAGTTTGTATATATTCCCAAAAACTAAAACAATAAATTTAGATTTTATTTCCTGGCAAAACATTCAATTCGGTTTATCCATTAAAGAAAAAAAAAAATTGGAATTTTTAATCAATATTCTAATAATTGTAACAAAGTATTATATCCATAAATGTCGCTATGCAAAATGCTCCCTCCCAATCTCTGCTCTCAAAAATGAACTTTCCCTTTTCAAAAGATGTCTGAGAAAGATGCAGAATTTAAATGCAATTAAATTGTTTGAGTTAATTGAAGAATTTCAGTTGGTAGTCCCCACTGATTAATTTACTTTAACTACTATTATTATTTTATTTATTTTTATTTATTTTATTTTATTTTATACTTTGTTCCAGCCTGTGCATTTAATTTTATTTTTCAAAAGCAGGAGTTGTGATATTTCTTCTTGTATTGAAATATTTGTTATTGACTTGTTATTTGAGATTGTTATTGTTTTCTTATATATTCAATAACAAAAAAAAAAAAAGTGGAAATCTAAAAAAAAAATTAACCATTACAGCCAACTGATTCTGATTAAAACAAATTTTTGAAGTAAATTATTTTGTGTATTTTTTTTACATAACATTTGCATACACAGTAATCTAGCGTACTTTAATTAAATAAATCAATTCAAGCTAAAATGTAAGAGTCTATAATTAGGCTATACTGAGCCTGATCTATTTCTACCATCTATTTGGGGGATATTTATTGCCACACTTTGGGCCACTTAAAACCAATTTAGCATGCTGACCTATGTCCTTATGACCACAGTGTACCAATCTTCTGATGGCTACTTCCAACAGGATAATGCGCCATGTTATAAAGTGAATCATCTCAGAATCATTTCTTGAAACTTTTCCACTTAAGTAATTGTGAATTGAGCATATTGACAGACAACATTTTATTTTTTATCTTAAATGCAAATAAAAAAAAAAAAAATTACTGCTCTAAATGTATTGCTCTGTCAGCTAAAGATCTGTTTTGGTCTCTATACTTTAATTAAATAAATCAATTCAAGCTAAAATGTAAGAGGCTATACCTGATCTCTTTGTATCAGAGATTTTCTTACCCAGGGTTGCAGGGGGGGTTTTACCCCCCCCTGCAACCCTGGTTTGCATTTGTATAGCTCACAGCATGTTCATTTACATGTTAAAGCCTCCCCTAGAATTCCATGGGGGGGAGGCATGGGGGGAACACTGCCTAAGAAATTCCACGTCAATTTCTGACAATTTACGGGAGTTTTCGTCGAAGCCTGCAAATTGCCGTATACTGCCGCTAACCTGAAGTTCCACGACAATCTACAGTGCCGTATATTGACGAAAATCCCACTTTTCATGCAGTGAGGTTCAGGAAGCTAACCAACTAAGATCAACACTGCGGCGTGGAATCCAGGTCTGAAGGCAGCTTAAATACTGTGGTCCTCCTGATTAGTAGATCAGCCAGAGGTGTGTGAGAGGCTCAACTCAGGAGGACCCACGGCGCACTCTGCTGGAGGCAGAGGGTAATCTCCAGAACCTGACAGTGACTCCAGCCCTAAGGAAAAGACAAAGAGAGCAGAAGAGGATCCTCGGCGCCCTCTGGTGGGCAAGCCTGAGGATCCCAACAAGACTAACCTAAAGAGTCTTTATCCGCATATTTAAAGTTGATCATGAAACTCCTCTCCTTTATTTCTTCCCTTTCCAAACACTTTATTTATTTATTTCTTATTCTGAGATAAACTCAAACCAATGGATGAAGTTCTGTTTGATAAACCTGATTTTCACTTAGAGATTCATCAAGTTTGTTTAAATAATTTACTTGTCAACCTGATTTGATCCAATCTGTGAAGTAAACACTTTAAACATGAAATCAGTGGGACGTGAGGTTGGTAAATATCCTGAAATGAAGGTGATCCCTAAACACATGATCATTGGTAGAAAATAAACTCTGACCTGCAGACCAGACAAACTCTGCATAACTGTAATCAGTAAAATCCTCTTGGTTTCCTCTTCCAGCTCTACATGCATATCCTGCTGTGTGTCTCTGTCCATGAATGATGAAGGAGTCCTCTACAGTCCCATTGATGCTGTCAGCCAGCAGCTCATATCTGTAGTCCTCCTGTGATCGATCAGGAACAGCTTTATACCAGTAGAACCTCCATCCTGTAGATGGAGGATCAACCTTACAGCTCAGATTAACTGAGGCTCCAGGACTCAGCCATGATGGAGACACAGTCAGGGAAACCCATGTTCCTGTTGGACAAAGAAATAGTTTATTTTACTAATAGTAAAGACACGTGACCTAGTTTTTTTCTGTATTAACCCTCTAAGACACAATATAATAAAACACTAAAATGTTTTGTTTCTATTTTAAAGATAATCATCTATTTTCTTCAAAGGCTGAAGAAAAAGCAGATCTGTTTTATGAATTTCTATCTTTCTGGGATCCAAACAGCCCTTACACTCAACAATCCCACTTCACTAAGGAAACCTATGACTGTTTTCTCCAGCTATAATGAAATATAAATAAAACACAATAGAAAGGACCTTGAGAGAAATTAGCTAAAGCTTGTAGTAGAAATCTTTTAGATGGTATCATGATGAAAGGATATCAGGTAAAAATAGTGAATTTAGATTTTAAAATCATCAGTGATGAAGTTTAAACCTTTGGTGATGACTTCCAAATGGACAATGACCCCTTTAAACACTTAGCAGATAAAATAAATCTGATCATCTTTTTGAAAGAAACAGGAAATGTTTAGAGTCCCCTTCATTTCAAGAAAATATATATCTGCATCTTTTCCTCCATTAATTTTACATAAATGTCTGATTTCTTGGAC